TAGCCAATTAGAAGCATTTTGAATGTAAAACTGTGCTTTTATACCACTCAACTCCACCCTTGCCTATATTAAAGAGCCCAAACACAATAGAATAACAAAATATAATATCCAACCCCCCTTCTACAAATTTCCTTTTTTAAAATTCTGGTTTATTATTTAACTTCATTGTTAGGCAAACTCAGTCTTAACAGGTAAGTAGTTATCATACAGAACAACATTAGCAGAGCTTTAGGATTGTTAGATGGGGATGCTTAGATGACATGACTTTAATGGGACTTTTCTAATTCCAGATTCATAGGTGCACAATTATTTTCCTACCTGGCAGGGATGTTGTGCAGTTTAATTAATTGTTTGCAATAAGCTTTGAGATTCCCAGATGAAAGGCATTGTATAAGAGCAACAAGTATCATTACTCACTGATGTGATTGTCTTAAGACAGTATCACCTTACACAATACAGATCCTCTCAACGATTTCAAGTCGTTTGAAGTTTGATAAGCATATTTATAATTAAAAGAAAGATATTGTGTAGATACTCTCCTTAAGGCGTGACTGGGATTGAGAAACCAGAAGTATGACTTTGGAGGAGAGAATAAACCAGAATTAAACAGCTCCTAAGGCCATTTTTGTCTGCAGTTGTGTAAAGCACATTCTTCTCTTTCTTTTGTTCTTTCAAGAAGGCTCCTCTCATTAGGTAAAATAAAACCTGATGAAATATGTAGGTGAGTTGTCGCTGTGATTCAGGTTCACTCAGAGAACACACATACACACACATACACTAACTTTATCATTTATCTTTATAAAAATTGGCTTGTGGCATTCTCAAGAGAGAGAGAAAGAGAAACCATTTAGTTTCCCCTTACATTCCTTTCAGCCCGGATGCAAAAATACTAAAATATTTGCATCTGTTTCACGTGGAGGGTGTAGTAAAGCACCTTTGTTTCTTGTATTTTTGTAATCAGTTCATTCTTGTATGATTTTGCTTGCTTGCTTGCTTTTTCCTGCTTAAAAGCAGTTTTAGACTGATATCTATATTTTTTCTAGGTTTTCTTTGCTTGATGTTTTTCACTGTAATAAGCCATTTAAATTCAAAAACATTTTATGTCTTACATATATAAGGACTTTGCTGTTTTAGTATTTTCAGTACCATACATTAATGTAGAAGGGATCATATTGATCACTAACATCACATTATTATTATTATTATTATTATTATTATTATTATTATTATTATTATTACCCCGCTTTATCTCCCCCAAAGGGGACTCAAAGCGGTTTAACATAAAAACACCACAATAGCCATTTAGAATTACAAATATACGAACATTAAAAGAGGATTAAATATAAATAGTATTTTTAAAATCCCAGTTAAAATCATTAAAACGAATTCAAAGTTAAAAACTACAACACCGCCTGAATTGATCTTAAGTGCCTTTAAAAGTCTGGAAGGAAAGCAAGGAGGGGACCATTCTGCCTTCCCTGGGAAAAAGGGAGTTCCAGAGTCGAGGGGCGGCCAATGAGAGAGAAAGCTCACTCTCTCGTTCCCACCAATCAAGCCTGAGATGGGTGTGGGACTGAGAGAAGGGCCTCTCCTGAAGGTCTCAGGGCTTGGGCAGCTTCGTATAAGGGGATGCGGTCAGCCAAATAGCCTGAACCTGAACCATCTAGGGCTTTAAAGGTCATAGCCAGCATTTTGAATTGTGCCCAGCAACAGACTGGCAGCTAGTGGAGCTGCCAGTCCGCTCCCTGTAGCCAGCCCCAGTTAGCAACCTGGCCATAGCTCTTTGGACCAGCTGAAGTTTCCAAGCACCCTTCAGAGGCAGCCCCATGTAGAGAGTGTTGCAGTAATCCAGATAGGATGTAACTAAGGCATGAACCACCATGGCCAGATATGACTTCTCAAGGAATGGGTGCAATTGGCGTGCAAGTTATAATCGTGCAAAGGTTCTCCCAAACACCACCGACACCTGGGCCACCAGGTTCAATGCCAAGTCCAGGAGGATTATTTATATCCCACTTTTAACTCTCCGGCAGGAGACTCATTCCTCTTAAAGCAAAAAGGTACATCTCTTGCATCGTGGATACTCTGCCTATGAATTTAACGGCCTACCTTTATTCCAAGCAACTCGGGGTAGTTTATCCATTCTTGTTCCCTCCGCTAACTTCTATCCTTGCATACAACTTACCAGGTAACTAAGGCTGCGAGATAGTTTTTCTTCTGTTTCTGAGATGTCAGCTGTAGGGATTAGGACCCATTCTGTTTCTAATCTTTTTTTAAAAAGTAGTATTTCACAAATGTTAATTTTACTGTTCATTTAACACTGTTTTAATCTCAGTGTATGTCTATATTTTTCCCTACTGTAAATGAAATTTAAGAAGCTTGAACCTGTTTCATATCTAAAAACACAACAAAAGATCTTAAATATTACAATTAATATGGTAATTGTCTGGGTTTTGTAAGCTGCCTTAAGAGTCCCAGACTGAGAGAAATTTGTGATGTAGATTAATAGAATTATGGAACTGGAATAGGCCACAAACATCGCCCAGTTCAACATCCAGTCATAAAGGCATATGCAATCAAAGTGATGGATGGATTGATGGTGACAACAATGATGCATTTGTTTTTAGCTCTTCCCATGCATGGCTTTAGCTCAGCTGACCAGAACAAACATATTGCATGCCTGTTTTGTTTTTTTGTACTTGCACAAGGAAGCTTTGTGACAAAGAGAGCATTTGAACCATGCTGTCTTCAGCTAGGAGATGTTCTGCTCCATTTCATTCACAGTAATGGCATATGCAGAGTGTTGGTTTCTATATTTAAAACCCTACGTGATTTGGGTCCAGGTTACCTACACGATCGCCTTCTCTCATACTGAGGTCCCCTGAGGGGCAGCTACTCCAGTCTGGCAGAATCTGACTGGTGACCGTCACCCAGAGGACCTTTTCAAGACTGTGGCATGACCCGCCTCAAGAGATCAAACAGCTAAATCAGCTGTCAGAATTTAAGAGACAAATGAAGACCTATCTCTTCCAGAAGACCTGCTCACCCAGTTTTGAACTATGAATTTTAAATTCACATTCTATGTCTATTGTGTTTAATAGTTGTTTCATGTATTTTAAAGTATAGCAATATGTTTTAATATATGCTTGGACTGAATGTATTTTATTATGACTATGTATTTTAACAGTGTTGTGCCCTACCTCAAGCCATAAGGAGAGATGGGTAATAAATCAAAATTATTATGATGATTATTATCATAATCTCCAAAACAACCTGGAAATGTAAGCCATTATAATTCCCATTTTACTGACAGGAAAGGTATTTCACCTGAACATGAGGAAGAACTTCCTAACTCAGCAGTGGAACTCTCTGCCTTGAAATGTGGTGGGGGCTCTTCTATGGAGGCTTTTAAATAGAGGCTGTATGGCCATCTGTTGGGGGTGCTTTGAACGTGATTGTTCTGCTTCTTGACAGGAGATTGGATTGGATGGCCCATGAGTTCTCTTCCAACTCTACGATTCTATTCTACGAATGTGGCAATCTTTAGGGCAGAACTAGCATGGGGTAATGGTTGAGCTTTGGACTACGACAAGATATGAATCCTGATTTGGTCATAAAAATCCACACTCTCTCAGGCTCAGAGGAAGGTAAATCTTCCTCAAATTGTAACCCCTCACATAAACAGACCTTGTTTTTAGCTCTTCCTATGCATGTTCCCTCTATGCGTTTTTTAAAGAATAGGAAAAATTGTTTTGTTACAGGCCCTGAAGTTCTACCCTCAAATAATCCACAAGTCATACAAATTCTATAATTGTGGGCCTGTGATCATTGGATTTTGAAAAAATGTGGCTTATTGTGGAAATGAGGATTGGTGAAAAAGCTTCAGTGAAGTCATCTCTTCCCCATGATAACACTTTGAGGAGTGAATTCCCCTTCCTACAGGAAGATTTCTCTTATTTCCTGTTGTCTCAGCCCCCTTCCTAACTAGGAGTCATTTGTAAGTCAGATGTTTGTAACTCGGGAACTGCCTGTACTATGTAATTAATAAGGCTAATGGTGGAGGAAGTGTTCTTAAACATTTGAGCTTGAAAAACTTTTGTTGAAAGGTCATAATTAAGAATTAGAAATGGCATACTGATCCCTGAATTACAAAGAGAAACCATGTTCAGTAATTAGAGGACAAATAAGGAAGAAAGGAATTGTCTTGTTTCTTTTTATTTTTTGCCAGTATTTGACTTAAAACAAATACTGGCAATTAGCTGCCACGAAGCAGAAGTCAAAACAGGGAGGTGAATGATGGAAATACAAGGAGTTGCTTTATACCAAGTCTGGCTATTGGCACATCTAGCCGAGAGATTTTACCAATGACTAGCAGTACCCCTCTGGAGTTTCAGGCATGACTCCCCCCCCCCCCCCCCGGCCCCACCCGACAGTGATAATTGAGATCCTTTTGAACTGCTAAGGACTGAAATCTTTTCAGAGTCACACAAAAGCATTCTACAATCGGACCACTACTAACATATGCAGAAATATCATTTGTATGTGTGTGTGTGTCAAACTTCCCATATTTTATCATATTATGGTCTCCACTGCATAACTAGTCACGCCTCAATCTTTGGGTGGCAAAATTGGTATTTTTGTATTCCTCAAATAATAGTCGCAGAGCGGTTTGGGGTTGATTCATAACCACAGTATTTGGCTAGAGTCTGATGTCACAAACCCATTCTCTTCCGATTCCAGAGCAGGTTTGCTAATCTTTTGATACCAATTATGCTTTGGAGGCAGAGAGGGAGACAGGTGATGAATTTGCTAGTAATACATGGATTAATGTTCAAGCAAATGTTTCAATGAATGCATGTACATATAGCGCATTTTCATTAGTATCATCAGTGTTCTTGTGATCTTTCCATTCCATGATATGTCCTTCAAATTAAATGGAAAAACACAAGTTGTCCCCACTTTTTTTTCTGGAATTATCAGGCTTTTCCCATGCTGCTTACCATGATCCGGTCACTGTCAATGATAGTGTTCAGTCTGTGTGCAATCGTCAACACAGTACACTGGGCAAACTTTTCACGGATTGTCTTTTGAATCAGCTCATCCGTTCTGAAATAAACATCAGACATAGATGTGAAAAAAGGACTGCATGGAAAGGAAACAAATCCAGCCACCAGTAAGGTCTTTTTTTTTTCTCTTCAAAAGTCCCAAACACAGAATTTTGTATTCATTGACAGTGGCAATAGGGCACATCCTTCTCTTTGAGAAGATTGGGGGGGGGGGGGGGTTTCACATTAAAAAAAATGTATGTTACTTTACAGCAAAGCATGGCTGAATCTTACAAGCACCGATTTTCTCTGTCACAGAACCAGAATAGAATATAGAATTTGTGAATGAAAACTGACACACTGAATGTTTGTTGTTAATATGCATTCCATTGGGTATGCAAGCATAATTTTAGAAGCGTCATAAAATACTTCAATTCATTGCAGATTACTGATTTCCACAGAAAACTGTGGAATCAATGCTTATTCTTGCTCATCGTGCATTTATTAGTTACAAACCATGCTGACGTTATCTGTCTGAAGGAAGTGCATTATTTATAAACATGGGTTCAGAAAAGTTTAAATACACACTTGCCCGATCATCTTGGCAGGAAAGACTGAATTCTAGGCTGAATAAACATGCATGGATTTATTCATTTAAGACACTTATTCTCTACCTTTCAATATAGCAGTTGCCCTCGCAACTCTAGAAACAAATTTAAGTAAGCCTTATTCTGTAAATCCCATCTTGGGAGAAATACAGTATATAAATTAAATAAATACATAGAAAGAAAGAGGGGAAGGGAGGGAGGGGACGAGAGGCAAACGTCTATATGTGCAAAGTAGAAGATTACTTTCCTCCTATTTTCCTAATCCTGAGTAGGCTGAGAAGAGAGGGGAAAATCCAGTGTAGGGACCCTTCCACACAACCCTATATCCCAGAATATCAAGGCAGGAAATCCCACAATATCTGCTTTGAACTGGGTTATCTGAGTCCACACTCAGATAATGTGAAATTTTCTGCCTTTATATTATGGGATATAGGACTGTGTGGAAAGGCCCTAAGCAGTCAAAGAGCTGCTTAGACTCAATTTTAAGTCATATCTGTCTGATTTGGTCCTATTTCACTGGACAATAGTTTTTATCCAAAGCTTGGAAAAACTTACATTTTTGTTCATTACAATTCTCAGAATTTCCTATCAGGTGTGGCTAGTGACTGTACTAACTAGAAATTTCTGGAAAATGTGGTCAAGAAAAATAATTTCTCTAAGTTCTGGTCCCATCAACCTCAAGGACTAAATGGCCAGCTTCAGAACAGCAGGTTAATCACAGCTACAGCTGCAGTAAATCTTGCCAACCAAAAGGTTGACAGCTAGAAGCCGGGTCAGGGCGAGATCCTGACCTTCAGCCCAGTTCCCCACCTCACCTAGTGGATCGAAAACAGCAATGTGAGTAGATGATTAGGAACCACATTAAGCGAGGAAGTATTTTAGTCATGGCGTTTCAGAGGAAACTTTAGGAACAAATAAAGCTCTTCAGTAAGGAGATGGAGCGACAGCATCCCACTGTGGCCGGAACCGAGCATAGCATCCAAAAGATGCCAGATAATGAGCAAAATCCTAAAATATGCCTCTATCTGTTGTCTGTCTTGTCACTGTATAATCAGCATTGAATGTTTGCCGTATATGTGTTCTGTGATCTGCCCTGAGTCCCCTTCAAGGTGAGAAGGACAGAATATAAATATTTTAAATTAAATACATAAATAAATAAATAACTAGCTAGATGTTACATCTGATGCAACAGGTCTTTTTTTCACATTCTTAACACCTTTTAAAACTCCAAATTGTTATCTATCGTTATGTGGAAGCTTGCACTTGTTTTTAAAATTAACAATGATTAATTTCAGTCTAAAAACCTACATAATTTTCACCTTGTCTTAACCCTGATTCAGGCAAACAAGCCAACTTGAGACCTTGGGCAAATTCACATCTTTTTATTCTAAATCTAAAGTTGAAATAAAGCACAGTTTGCTCAGGTTTGCGGATAAAAAGTATTTAGTTGAGACAGAAGTGAAGACTTTCTCAGGATCAAGACAGAGAAGTGTGGGTGAGTAGGAACGTATGAGCCCAAAGCTAAAGCATAGTTTAGTGCCATGAAAAATCCAGTCATTTACTCAAATTATGCTTACAAAGAACCTTCCATGAATGACCAATCGTGCCGAGGTGGAAGATACAATAATAAGGCTGAGAGTGGGCTATCTGAACCTTGAGTTTACCTTGGATCCACATTTGCCGTTGCTTCATCAATGATCAATATTTTATTCTTCTTCAGAATTGCCCTGGCCAGGCATACCAGCTGTCGCTGACCAACACTAAAATTAGATCCAGATTCTGCAAGCTGGGTTTCCAGTTTGTTAGGCAGTTCTTCTATAGTCTCTTTTAGCTGGACCTGCAGACATACCAATATGTCCAAGTGTAAGTAGACTACTTTTCTTAAATGACATCAATAACAACACGGTATTTACCTTGCCTTTTACATTGACTGTTGAAATATGCAAATGATTCCAGTCGTTTCGATTTATAATAGATAGTGGTAATCATGAAGCATGACAAAGATTAACCTAACTAAACATCTACAAACACTGGGGACAATGCTAGGAATTGCAGTGGTCAAGTGTGGCCCCTCCCAAAAGTGGGGAAGAGGGAACAAGAGACAAGTTTGTCCAGATGCCACCACAATGCAACTAATGAAACAAGAAACCAATGCCCTCACAACTTGTGTTAAGCAAAACAAAAGTTACTTTTTTAATTGACAAGGCTAATTGACACTTTGTGGCCCATCTAGGGATGATGGAAAATGGCCCAGGATACTTTGCAGGTGCCCACTATGGATGCAACTGGAAAGAAAGGTGGGGGAGGAAGCCCTGTGTTTGTGAACAAAATTACCTCTTGCAAAGAACTCCATAACTCCTCATCTGTATATTCATCAAAAGGATCCAGGTTTCTCCTCATGGATCCAGTAAAGAGAACGGGCTCCTGAAACACAATGAATTGTCATTCAAAAACGCTTCTGCTTGATCAGGCTTCATAGATTAGATACAAAACAGAAACTCACTTAAGTTTGGTAAAAGGGTTTCCTTGGATTCAAAATGCGACTTTGGGTAGATCTGCCTGTTCAATAAATACCCACATATTCAAAATCGTATTGCTGTTAAAGTAGAAATACAATAAACAAGCAGAAGGAGTGCCAAACATTTCCTGCCCACCACTTTTCCTCTAGAGCTGACTTTTCTAAATTATTCCTCCTTTTCCCAGGATGTACTGAGTGAGTGTTCGCTTTCCAAATACACATATAGTACTCTCTGGAAGAAAAAACTTTTAGCAAACAAGCAATAAGCTTCCATTCTCCACAAACTAAACTTTACAAATTGTCCCTATCCAAAGCCATCTTCTCCAGAACCAGCAGACACTGCAATGTTTAGAATCAGCACGCATTTCTATGGACCACATAGTTGTATCTTGAGTGAAAGAAAAAAAAAATCATAACTATCCTAACTTAGAATATCCAGTTGTATGTGAGATTCTAAGTACCTATGTGTATGAGAGAAAGAATGCAAGTTGGCCATTGAACTTATGTCCTTGACTGGTTTCTTATCTAAGCACCAAAGAATAACAGTAATTACAGGCCTAACCAGCAACCCTTTAACAACAACAAAAATACTTTCAAAAAAGCTTTTGAGAATGCCTAATTCCTAGTTATCTACGCAACTGTTATGCAGTCTTGCACTTTATCCCATGACCTCTTTCCATGGCTACAGCTTTGCACTTATTCCATTCCTAGTTCAATTGTTTATAGTAGCTTACTGCCATTGGTTGATGAGCACGGTTTTTAATTGAGCGTTAGTTGTTGTTTTATATGTCCCTATGTTTTATTTAATTGTATGTTTATTTTTTTCCATTTTATGTTTTGTTTTTAGGCATCTTGTGCCCGAGTCCCTTCAGGGAGATAGTGGTGGTATACAAAAATAAAGTTGTTGTTGTTATTATCATCATCATCATTATCACCTTCTTCATCATTGCTTGTTTATTAAGACAGAATCCCAAGAATCAATTAACAAATTTTGTTAATTCCTACTTTCAACTATTGTTGTTGAAAACTTCTGTGTAAGCCAACCTATTAATAAGTAGGGCAAGTTGGTTTGGCTTTGCTACACTACAGTTTGACCACAAAATGCAAAGTCCCCGTTTTTGTGCCACATAGTACACATTGGCTGGAACAAAAAGAAGTATCCCAATAGCAAACATCAAGAGATTTATTGGGACATTTATTCATCTCAGATGGCTTATGTATGTAAAGAAAAATTATATTTTGTATGTGGATTAAATTTGAAGACATAAACCATACAGGTAACAATGCTATGGAATGTCTACAATGTAGTTCTAATTTTGTGTGGATTTGGCTACAAAATGTGACACTGGTATACTGAAAGATTCCATTCAAGTGCAAGACGGTTAAACACACCTGTAGTTTTACAGGTATATAATTTCATTTAACTTAAGAAAGCAGCTGAGGGTAGAGTTTCATGGCACAGTCACAATGCATTAAAAACACCGCCTCCTTGTCCAGTCATAAAAACTTATTCCTCCCGGCACAGCTTCCCTTCTAAGACAAAATGTCACATGATGATGACTACTGTTAAGGTAATGGTTTGTATTTTCTTTTTCCATTACAATTTCCTCTGACCCCACTAATTACATCCCTTGCCCACCCAAGCAGGTGAACAACAAGTTGAGAACCCCCCCCCCCCCCATGCCTCTGATCACATGGGCTACAGTTGACAAACTTTTCAACATGAAGACAGATCTGAAGCTTTTAATTTACAATATTTGTAAAGATGATTTTCTTGCCTCTCCTCTAGTATCAAAGGCAACTTCCTTCCTGACACAAATAGAAACTGGGCCAGTATTTTGCCAGGAGAACAACATGGGACTAAAGAGTTAAAATGTCATGATCCCTACTTATAGGGACTGTTATTTAAGACAGATTTGGCACATACGATCAAACTAAACACCATAACACACAACCTGGCCTTTAGATGAATATGCTAGTTGTGAAAAGAAGAATGTTGACTTTTCTGAATGGCTCACTCAGAGACAGCTTTAATGTAATAGTCCAATACAGCTGACAAATATTCCACTATCCCACATGCAGGATCTTTACAATAATTCATGCTGCAAGCTTATTAAATCAGAGAAAGGACGTAGTACAGAGATTAACCACCAACAAGCTTTCAACCTGTGTAGCTGTTTTTATTTTAATGGGCTTGTGTACTAAGCCAAGTTTACAATGCACATCCAAAGCTGTTTGGATAAAGAATACCACTAGTGCAATTTTAATTACAAAACCTGTTGATGATAAGAAATCCAGTAAATCATTTTTTAAAAGACTGAATATTCCTTCCTTTCCAAAAGGCCACATTTTTAAAACAATATTTATTATAATACGCTATTGGATGCAAGTTAGAATTATTGTTGAGATGATTTTTCCATTTCAATCTATTTTTATAGGTCAGCAAAATGGTAAATTTGAATTCATAAAATCTTCATAACTGTTATAAAATTATAACAGCACACATGTACTGCAAAAGCAGATAAGGATAATTTTAATTACCATTTCCGACACAGATTGTTATATTAAATTGCCTGTTTCATGAGAGGAAGTTAATATGCCTAACCTGTAAATAATTGTAAATTACCATCAGGAAAAGAGATAATATTGAATCAAAAGACTGATGGAGAGTAAGTAATTCAAGCTTCATATAATCATAAGCAACTAACCAATAAGAAGTTTAAGTAGTATTATTTCTAGTGCATATGGTTATCTCAGAAACAATCATAAGTACAGACCTTAAGTGTAGGCTAAGATTCAATTAAGACATTAGCATCTAAACCATAGTTTGTTGTTTAGGAGCACCTTTGTGGCCTTTATACTCATCTCTCCTTCTCACAGTAGCCATATACAAAGCAGGGGACACCTTACCCTGAAATGACTGGGTGAGGCTCCAACCTGTGCTTAATCACTAGTGCTTCTTCTCCTCTCATACTCTAGTTCTGCACTTCACTTCCCAGTCTTTGCTAAGTATTCACAAACAATGTGTGTGCCACGGACTCCCTTCATTCTCTCCTCACCTCCATTTTCCAGCCTCAAAATAGAAAACTACTGCTTTGAGAGGTTTCTAAGAGCACCAGCTCTCCCATCTTGTATAGGCGAATTTGCCCCCCGCCCCTTTCCACAAAATCAGAAGAGATCTTCCTGCCTTCCTATTGAACATGTAGGGACTACAGTATGTGTTGCAACTCAGGGTAGCTTTCACCTTGCTCCAGACACCAGTACACCAAAGCTGTAGGTTTTGTAGTTTATTGAGAAAAAGGCAAAATCAAAACAAAGTATAAGAAATGCAAAAGTTCCATAGGCAGGACAAAGGCTTAAATGCAAAGACAAAGTTCCCAAGATCCAAAGGCAAAAACATGAAGCATAATCCTTTAGCAATGGTCAAACAAGAGTCCATGGAAAACAGTTGAAAACAAGACCCAAATCCCAGACTCAGGAAGCCAGAAGCGTGCTGCTAAAAGCCAACGTTAATCCACAGAAGTTTGCATGAGAAGAGCTACATTGGACTGACAGCCCCTGCTTGTCACCTACAAGGCTAAATACCCTTTGCAGATATGAACGCATTGCGTTGAACTTTGGCCCCCTTGGCTTCTCGCTTGCTAGCCAAGCGAGTTCTTCTCTGGAGCCTTCATTGCAGACGATCTTTCCTGCTCATTAATTCATTATCTTCAAGGCTATGTAACCCCTTATCTTGATCCAGCTGGACCGGATCACTGTGGGGAGGAAAAGATGTCTCCACCTGGCCATGTGGGAACTCACTCTCATTATCAGTCTCACTAACATTCCTTTCCCCTGGGAACTGGCTTGCTGTTTCTCCTTCAGCAGCCCCACCGTCAGCCCTGTCTGAAGCATGTACAGAAATCTGTAACCCATCATCCTCCTGTAGGAATTCTGGCTCAGAAAGCCCACAGAGCTCAGCTTCAGACTCAGAGTTAAGCTGAGTCACAACAGTATGGCTACTGAAGGATGGAAAAATGATCCCTTGGTACCTGGAGCTTATCAAATTCAAGGTATCAAGAATCAAACCCTCTTTCAAAAAGACAATAAAAACCGAATAGAAAAAAGTTTTGCTAAGACATGCACAATTATAAACAGCACAGATATAGTATGCGGCAGGGATGACTTGGAAGAGAATTCCACAAACAAAATACTAAGGAAAACATGTTCTAAACCACAGGAAGTTGAGGACCAAAAGCAGCCTTAGAAGATGGCCTCAGATAACAGACATGCTGACATGGCACTCGTCTTCGGTCACAACAAAACACACTCAACAACCTTTATTCGCATACATTAAAAAGATCAGACATGTATAACAAAAAGATCAGACATGTATAACAAAAGGAAGGCACACATAAAAGAAGGAAAACATGATTAAAATTACTAAATCTTAAGAATAGAACTTGCAACGGTCTTGTAAAATAATGCATCAGAGTTGTTCAGGAGGTATAGAATTTTATAACACTCTTGCCATTGAAAACACTGCAAAAACATGGTATTCCTGTATTTCATCCATATCATATTTGGAGTCATCACGTCCGACACTGTTTAGCTAAGCTGACGAGCAAAAGAGCAGCACATTGAATTGCATACACACAAGCACTGTGAAGACATATTTACCAAGTGTTTTTTCTCTGTTGCTTTCTGAACCAACTGAAGTTCTGGACAGTATTTAAATGTAGGTGTACAATACACCACAGGAATCAGTCTAATCAAGTATCTAATCTAGATGTTACTAAAGCAGCTAAATTATGAGGCAAGGATGTTTCTTTCTAGGAAAGGTTGCAGCTGGGAGCTCTTTTTGAAACACAAAAAGAATCAAATCTGACAGATTAGATCTAGCCAGTTCTAAGGTGTGGACTTGATCCTTATTGAAAGAATATGGCCTTTTCACCATCAGGGTGAACGTCACTTCAGCGGCCAATGAAACCACCTATCAATAGCACCTTGACTATGTATTTTCTTTCTTTAACCATCTCCAGACATCTGTTCAGCACCTGTTCACTTTACCATTGGGATTATATGATAGGGCAAAATGGAGATAAATATGCTATGATAAATATGCTCATGCTATTTCACTTCTTATACATACGGAAAATTATTTTTCTTGTTTTATTCTATTTTATTTGTGTTCTGTCTTGCTCCCCACCTGGGACCTAAAAATCAAAACACAACTCCACATACAAATTATTTCATTAAAATAAAATTCATTTTAAAAGGTGCAAATATAAACAAAACAATATGAACAAAATGTATCAGACACACCATAAAAAAGATGCACTGCAAGCAGCCAATTGCTACATGTTCGTTTAAATGAAAAGGCCTTGCCTGCCAGCAAAAGGAGAGCAAAGAGAAGGCCAGCCATGCCTCTCATGGAAGGAGTTTCACAGTCTGGGAGGAGGTCCTCAGAAACCACAGTTCCCTGTCTTCATCAGATGGGCCTGTGATGGTGATGGCACTGGGAGAAAGCCATCTTGCTAAACGTTTTAGATCATGGCCAACACTTTGAGATGTGCCCAAAACTGAATTGGTAGCCAGTTTTCAACAAAGAAGTTGTATGCTTTCTATAATTGGCCCCAATCCTCTCAGTGCAGGATTTTGAACCCATTGCAATTTCCAAAGGCAGACTGTATTGCAGTGTGCATGAAGGATGCAATCATCATGCCATGTATCCTGGAATGAGGGGAGCTCATGTTCAGATGCCCTCCTGACCACGACAGAAACATAGGCATCCAAGCTCAGGGTTGAATTTCTTAGACTACAAGATTAAGGTACCGGGGAAATGTTATCCCATCCATCACAGACCAAATCTTTATCCTTTGATCATTCTTTATACTGCCTAGGAGTATCTCTGACTTGTCTGGACAAAGCTTCAATATGTTCATCCTCATCCAGTCCACTGCTGGAAACAGACACCAATTTTAGCATCAAAACAGCCATGAAATAAGATGGAAAGGAGAACTTTTGTTCTAAAATAAAAGGAGTGATGGGGCATCAATACACCATGGTCTTGATCCATTATTAGGAGAATGGGAGTATTTTGCAGATCCCTGCCCTGTTTTTCCACTCCTTTCCCTTTTCAGCATTAACTATGATGCAGCATCGTAACAGAAGCTAATCATAGTTATTACCTTTAACCATGGCTTATAAACCAAGCACTGGGTTTAAGACACTTTTAACATTAGCACTGAAACATATCTATGATCAATGGCATAATGAAACGAGAGGCAAACAATTTCCTTGTGAGAATCAGGAGGGAAAGGCTCGTGCATATGAAGAATCATACCATGTTGATCACATGATTAACATCATCAGCATCTTTCTAGTCCATACATGTAATAGTTCCTTGCTTTTATAACCTCCTGAGAAAGCAGTGGGAAGAGAACAAGAGACTTTTTGCCTGCAAAGTAATTGTACCCGCTAGCTTTCAGACACTTGAATCCCACCAAGGATTTGACTAAAACCATACCTACAACAGGCAAGACAAAAGTAAAAACACTTTTTATTTTGTCAGACTAATTGTATCCCCATAACAGGAAGCCCATTCATCAATAATGCACCTAACAGCAAATGTCTCGAAGTAGAATTAGCTAGCAGGAACATCCTACCCCTCAAACATGTATTTTTCTCCCCCTGAACAGAGATCAGTATTTTACAATGCAACTCCCACCTGAAACAGCCTGGAAAGGGGCTTTCAAAACCCAGCAGCCACTGAATGAACTTATCATCGTCCATTTTCAGGAGAAAAGAACATTGTGCATACACAAAGGCAGAAGAATTTAAGTCCATGTAAAGTCCTCTTCAGATACAAAGAGGTCACCAACTTCACTCAGTAGCACTACTGTGCATTAATGAAGCCTTCAGTGTTCAGAAACAAAGAAGGAGGCTGCATTAGGCTGCAATCCAATTGTATTTATTTGCTAGTAATAGCATACCTGCCTCTTATTCTGTGCTTTCTTTTCTTCAAACGCAGGGGTTGGGAGCAGGAGCAGCGGATAAACCAAAGAGGGCTTTTAGAGAAGTACTTTGCCTGTTAAAACTTTTTAAAAACTATGGCAGGGTTTTTTTTTTCCATTTAAAAAACATGGGCCAGGGGAAAAAAGGGAAAATAACCTCTCTGGAAAAGGTAATTACTGTCTTGCTTTCTAATACAACATAATGTACATAATGTAGGTCCAAACATCATAAAAGATGACCCAATATGCAATGCTTATTTTGCATCATCACATGTATAAAAAGCAGGTGAACAATAAATTGATGAAGTAGTAAGAAGCATGTGTATCCCACTTTTAATTTTTATTCTTCAGGGTAAATATGACATCTAATGCATTACAGGTTATTTTGCTAGTGTTGCTCACTGTGACTGCACACCAGTATCTTAAAAGAGTTGCTGTCTCTGAAGTTTTGACTAAAATCTGAGTGATTTTTATGTTCTTATCCAAATAAATACTCTGCTTACAATAAAGCATCATTTTTCAAAAATCTTTTGGTGGGGAAAAGGCTACACTTCAATATTAATCACTGGAGGACCAAAATCAACTTAAGATATCTGTGCTGTATAAATAATGTATATAACATAGACATATCTACAGTTAAGACATAGGCTAAAATTCTGCTTCCCCAGTAGAATAGGCTTATTTAATCAATGGAACTTACATAAATATTAACATACCAAATCCCTGTAGATTCTATACACCTACTCAAATTGGGACTAACAACTGGATTGAAACAAAGGATTCCAAAACAATTCACTTCAGAAGACAAGTACTTTTCAACAGCAGCAGTTCACAAATGCTCCCAAGGATTTGTTGTCATGATCAAAAGAATTCAAACTGCATAGTAAAGTATAAATAGACTGGAGCAGTTTCCTTAATGAAAATTACCACTGGAAGGTACTAGCACTGCTCAACACGCCTTTCACAATTCCTGGGGGGCGGACGGAGGAGAAGGCTGTGATTATTATACGATGGCAACTATTACGGGGTTAAAAAAAACCCATGTGGACTTCACCCGTCTATGTGGCTGCGCCCTCAAAGGAAGCACACAAGCAGGTAGATGATGCTTCACTCACCTGCATGACGACCTGTTGCCAAAGGGGAAAGAGGGCAGACAAGGGGGAGTGAATTCACTTTCCTCCCATCAGCTCTCTTTTTCCTTTTGATGCTGTGAGGCTTGACTTGGCTCCCAGCTGAGTCAAGCCTCACAATGCCAAAATGAGTCGGAGACTTAGTTCACTCACCCAGACAAGTGAGCTATTTATATGGGGAGAGGCAAAACTCCATTTTTGTCTTCTCCAAAATGGAGGTGCAACTATTATGCAATGGTGACTATTATGTGATGAAACAGGTAGATTGGATTTCCACTTTGTAATTTGACAATTGTTCCAGTGACTAAGAGCTCCCAGTCTTAGTGCAAATCTTTTCATTTCCTTTTTTGTCAACCAAGCCTTCTGGTCAGGCAATCCATACCAGGGTATTGTGTGCTGTATGGCCATGTTCTAGCAGCATTTTTTCCTGACGTTTCCTATGAAGATGCCAGCCACATATGCAGGTAAAACATTGGAGAAAAATGCAAATAGGCCATACAGCCCAGAAACCACACAACACTCCAGTAATTCCGTCTGTGAAAGCCTTCGACACCACTCCATACTTTTCCTAACAATTCATTGACACTGCTTTCACACTGTTCCTAAACATCCACATTTATTTATTTATTTATTTATTTATTTATTCTATTTCTGCCCTGCCCATATCAGCCCAAAGGCGACTCAAGGCGGTGAACAGTTGGCACAATTTGATGCCATTTCAGATAGAATTTAAACTAAATATTTCCTAGAAAACTAAGGTTTGTAAGTAACATTCTGTGTATCTTTATACGTCTATACTGACTAATTTAACTATGGAATCACATAACTAGAGTCTTAGAAGGTAGCCTCAAAATCCATTAACTCCTTGTTAAGTCAGGAAATCCACAGAGAAAGCAACCTTGAAAGACAGCCATCCAACCAATCTCTGTCTAAAAATCTCCATAAGAGAGAATCTACTCCACTGTCAAATAGGTCTTACCATAAAGAAGTATTCATGGTATTATGTATTTCAAAAATCTCATTCCTTATATTTACCAATGGATTCCGTTGGTAAAAATAAATAAAAGATGTGGAAAGCTGCCATTTGATGAATGACACAATCACTTGGCAAATAAAATCAAAGGATCTGGTTCACCCCCAAACTCTTTAACTGCATTTGGGACCAACCAGGGAACACATTAATAGTGTGGCCTGTATGTTTTACCCAGCATGATATGTATGTACACAACCCTCAATACATCGCTATAGTTTATACTCATCATTCCACCAGAAGACATCACTTCAACCTCAAAACTAAATTCAATATGCAGTGATAACTAATGACTTTTAAAAAGCTGTTTGGGTATGACAAGAGCGCGCTCTTAAAACAGTCATAATAATTTCATTCTAGTTTCAGTCAGAATTGAGAAGAGAGAGGATTACCATGCGTAAAAAATGAAGACGAAAAACATCACAATGCTATAAAAGATTTCTGGAAAGCTCCCAACAGAGTGCAGAACAAAGATAAAGAAAACATTACATCCCTAAGGTTTCTGGAGTGTGCTGGACCTCTAAAATATACTGATACTCACAGAATAGACCATACCTGAGGTATGATTGAAATTTTCTTCCTCAAGTCATGAAGTCCCAATTCCGATGTCAAATACTTATCAATCCAAATTCTTCCTTGGGGCTCAGCCAACCGGAAAAGAGCAGCTATTAAAGAGCTCTTTCCAGCTCCTGTTCTTCCCACAATTCCAATCTGAAAAAGAAAAAGAAAAAAGAAATGACAGAAAACAGCAGCCAAGTTAGTTTGGATGATGAGAACCCTCTCTCTCTTTCTTTTAAACACTGTTAACAATTATCTTGTATATTTAGTCCTTGCTGGGCAAGATTTACAAGCCAGATTTACAAGCGAGGCCACAAAAGAAGATTGCTATAAACAATCATTATTTTTAAACTGTCTTATGCTTATAACACCTGAAAACACTTGAGTTGTTATAAAGCTATTTTAAGTCAGGCTCTAAGATTTCAACCACATATGATACAGATAAAACAACAGCTTTCCCTTAATAAGTTCTAAGAAGCTGGCATCTATTTCATTTATTAAGATTTCCACCTTCTCCCTCAAGGCATAACTGTCTTGTCTCAGCTGCCTGAATTGATCTTAAATTTTAATGCAATTTTTTATTTGTTTCTAAATGTATTGTTGCTCACTCTAACGCTTCAGGGATAGGGTGGCTTATAACACATTATTAACATTTTCTTTGGGATAGGAATAACATTTCCTTCTTCTCATCTGTCTTGAGAGCAAATCTCATGAGTTGTTTTTCCATTATGAAGACGGGAAACAGAGACTAAAAATATATTCTCCCCCAAACCAATGGGTCAGAATACAAGCAAGCTTTCTAGAGCCAAACCACACTCTCAGTTTCTAACAAAGCTATTACTGAGTTGCTGTGTGTTTTCCAGACTGTATGGCCATGTTCCAGTCCCGAAAACTCAAAGCAACCCAGTGATTCCAGCCTTGAAAGCCTTCAGCAACACAAAGCATTTATGTATTTATGTATTTATGCATTTATGTATGTATGTATGTATGTATGTATGTATGTATGTATGTATGTATTTATTTAGGGCATTCATACCCTGGCCTTTAGTGAAAAGGGATCACAGGGTAGCTATGAGCAGAACTTAACTTTTCTGTGATGCTCACTCATATTTTTTTCTTGAAAATTTTTTACAATTTTTGCAAAATGTAAGTTGGGTTTTACTCAAAAGATAAATGATTTTTTAAAGAATATCTGCCAGATTCTGGTAAGCATACCAATACCCAAATCAGCAACAAATTCTATTATTTTCTAAACAAATATAATTATTATATATAAATAATAAATGAATGAATGAATGAATGAATTTGATTAGCCCTTAGGCCATATCACCACACCATGTTTATTCATATCATGATCTGATCACCATGCTCAATATATCCCATATGCATGAGGGTATTGGGATAATGATACAAAAGGTTTTCTAGGGTAGATCCTGAGTCGTCGTCCCCCCGAATCAAACGCAGCCCCCCCCTTCCCGAATCAAAATCCTGGCTACGGGCCTGCCTGGAGGAGTTTGAGAAACACTGCTGTAGATCAATGCTCACATAAGTTCCACTTGCTTCACTGGGGCTACTCTACCTGGGACAAAAAATAGATTTAGGCCAAAGTATGTATTTCTAAATGTGTTTCATCTTTTTAAAATGCACACTTTGGGATGGTTTCTGAGCCAAATGCTACCCTGAAAATTTCAAGTCGTGAGAGACATAAGGACAATCCAGGATATGGTCAAATCAATTTATCAAGCGAGAAACCAACCCAGGCTGCCTACTGTGTTACAGCCAGATTTACTGCTCCAGCCTCTCCTCCTTATTAACCTCTATTAGATGAATGCCATTATGCCCTTGCACCTGCACAGTGGGTGTTATTTGGTCAGTTAGTTGCTTTGGATATAGAGAAAATGCAATAAAATTGTTTGCCTTCAGAAGATTTTGGTCTGCGGCAGAAGGTGGTCAATGTACGAGCTTCCTGTCTACCCCTCAGAAATATTTAAAAATGCATATCTGCTAAAGTGTGCTCTTTCATTATCTACATAATGAGGGGAGATCAAACAGGTCTCAGATCCTTACATACTCTTCCCCACATGCCTCTTGCTGTGTAAAAGTTTGTGTGTGTGTGTCAGGAGCGACTGGTGTGAGAGACTTGGCCATCTGCAAGGATGTTGCCTAGAGGATGCCCAGATGTTTTACCATCTTTATGGGAGGGTTCTGTCATGTCCCCACATGGGGAGCTGGAGTTGACAGAGGGAGCTCATCCGGGCTCTCCCTGGATTCAAACCTGCGACCTGTTGGTCTTCAGTCCTGCCGGCAGAAGGGTTTAACCCATTGCACCAAACCCAAAGTTCTTGGATGTATATGATGGGACCTCTTCATCCATAAGAGATTAAACCCTTTTTGAAACACTTATTTTGCTGCTCTTTCAATTTCTCTACCAGAGAGCAAAGCAGACATGGAAATGTATGGTGGCTGTTTTCTTTTTCTTTTTTAAAATAATTCCTTCCAGCTTAGAAGAATAGAAGGGGGGAAGTGCTACAAGTTCTGAGAGATGGTATACTAGAGAGCAACTTCCTTCAAAAGCAAAGATGGGAATGAAAAAGCTTTAAGGAAAGGGGGAGGGAAATGAGGGGGGGAAAGAATGAAAAAAACAACTATGCAGAGTTTGGTATGAGAACAAAAGAGTTCAAGTGCTTCCTCTGAAGTCATTGATGTACAGTAGTGCATTAGCAGCATAAAAGCACTTTATAAAAATTGGTACTTAAAATAAAAATGCAGCTGCTCTGTTCATTGTCAAATATTCTTCTCTCGGTCTGGCATCCAATGAAAAAGAACACACAGAGCGTGTCAAAAGGCAGTTTATCATTTTGGGGACTAAGTATCTGAGCCGCTAACGGCAACACAGAATTTAGGGCAGTGCAAGCAATTTTTGCTGCCTTTACTGATCATATTCTTTAAAGGGATTTATTAAACAGATTATTTGTTCAACATACACTTTCTGCCAATCTTGTGATGGAAATTGCACCTGTCAACCTGACTGCAAGAAAGCTGATGCAGGTCTGCCTGAACTAATGAACTATGGGATTTGACATGGAATGTAAAAGAAAGTTGCATTTCCAATAGAGTTCCAAATCTATGTTGAACTAACAGATAATCAAGCACAAAAGTCATAAGGCTTTCAACTTCTCTAGTAATGTTAATACAGCTAGACTTTTAAACAAAGCATATCTGGCGATGCTGGGAGTGAGGTGGAAAAAAGCTTCCTGACACAGAAGTTATGTCTCTTCACAGTTATAGTAGTTTGATGCCCTTAAACTCCAATGGCTGAATCCTATGAAATCTTGAGATTTGCACTTTGGTCAAATACCTAAATTCTCTCTTTGAGAGCTCTATTGCCTTCCCTGACTGAGCAACACATTGTTAGTCTTCAGTCCTGCCAGTACAAGGGTTTAACCCGCTGCGCCACTAGGGGCTCCTAATTATGGTGTTACCAATTTTATACATCATTCTGATAGCTCCATCGCAAGAAATATGCCACACATAGGTCTTCAGTGTTTTAAGATAAAAGTGGGGAGGGGGGCCAGGGCAATGTATATGTAAACAAAGGACTCATCTTCCAAATTCCTGCTTTGAAGAGGGTTTCTAGTCATGTATGCTTGAACACAAGTAGAAGTCTCCACCTAATCACGATAACTGTGATAAAGTAGCTTCCCAGTCACTTTTATTCTAGTTCACAAAATCATTAAAAGCTCTTTAGTGCTTTTTCCTTGACAAGAAAACATTGGGCTTGTGTGCACACTTTTTTCTCCCTTGATATATTTTCAGGTCTAAGGACGTGATCTCACACTAAGTTGCACATTGAATTCAATCATTTTTAAGCCTGATCTTTCATTATCAGATGATGTTGTGACTCCCTCATTGTTGTACTGCATTTCCATCATTGTAGTTGTTGTTTATTCGTTCAGTCACTTCCAACTCTTCCTGATCTCATGGACCAGCCCATCGCCACCCCCAACTCCTTCAAGGTCAAGCCAGTCACTTCAAGGAAACCATCCATCTATCATGCCCTTGGTCTGCTCCTCTTCCTTTTTCCTTCCACTTTCCCCATCATCATTATCTTCTCCAAGCTTTCCTGTCTTCTCATTATGTGGCCAAAGTACTTCATCTTTGCCTCTAATATCCTTCCCTCTAGTGAGCAGTCAGGCTTTATTTCCTGGAGCATGGACTGATTTGATCTTCTCGCTGTCCAAGGCACTCTCAGAATTTTCCTCCAACAGCACCATTCAAAAGCATCTATCTTCCTTCGCTCAGCTATCATTTCCATCATTACTGGATCCCATCTTTTTGTTGTTATTACAAAAACTCACCAATGCCTCCAGTATTGTGACTGTTACATGATTATTTCTGGAGCAATTGTTTTTTTCTGCTGCAATTCCAATATTCCAGCAATGATGTGGTTCTCCTCTTTTCCTCCTCTCTATCCTCAAGCAGGGTATGTTCATATTGCTTTGCACTCTTCCCTTGGAAATATATTTAAAATAGTTTTTCTGTAAGTGTGCTGCAATTATGGTAGCACCCTCTATATGCAAGATTTGTTGAAACTGTGCAATTGTGGCATAAAAAGAAAAAAAATAAACAGTGTGCATGCACTATGTAAGGCAGGCTTGGATGGGAAGGTAGGGTCAGTCAAGGCAGTGCAGAAGATTGTCTATGGGACCTGCATCACCAAAACACAATTAGAGAGGAGGTGTGAAAGTGACTGTTTCCATATTGATTTGTTTTCTTTGCTCAAACAACAGGATTGTTGCAAGACAGCAGGTTGGTGCGATAAAGCCCTACACAACTGCAGAAGGTGAAGGAATAACAACTAACAGCGCAATCCTATTCTTGGCTACTTACAACTAATAAGGACCAAGGAATCTAACTGGACTTCATCTAAGATATTTATAACTAGGACTAGAGCCTTAAAACACGGTGTATTTCTGTGCTATAAAGCAACAAAAATTGTTTACTGAGCCAGTGCTCAGACGCTTAAAATATACAACCTCTTTAATAGTGATTTAGAAAAAAACAACAACAAACATTTATCCTGAATAGTAGACTTGTACACAGATCCATTTTAGCTGTTTCCCTTCTTTGGCTTCTCTGTGTTGCCATAATGGCAAGGGCTCTGCTGCCATGTTTTTTCACCTGAAACAGCCCACATGGCTGCCAGGCCTGGCTTCTTCCCTTCTATTCGGGAGCACGTGGCACATGTTTCCTTAACCCTGTAGTTCAAACCCAGACTCCCTTGAAAGGAAGGGGAAAAAAGGAGCTCAGGAAGGGTGCTTCCTTAACCCCGTTCCTCAAACCCAGGCCCCCTTGAAAGGAAGAAAGGAAAGGATCCCAGGTACAGAAAGGGGAGCCTCGTACGTTCCCCATTGCCACCAATGGGCCAGATCTTCCCAGATCTTTTAGATGCCTAGCTAAAAACTGATTTTTCCATTTGTCAATTTTTGAGAGGCTCCCAAAAACGGATCTGGGTACCCAACGAAATTCGGATACCAAAAATGGATCACCCTCCAGCAGAATTACACAAGTCTACTGAATAGTACAATACCAAGAAACACATTACTTCATTTCTGTTGTTCAAAATCTATAAAAGTTTCTCATCCAAAGAGCAGTTCTGAAGATTTTGGAAACAAAGTTTTTCCTTTTTCTCATACGAAGAAGGCTTCAAAGTAAAGGGAAGTAATCAATCTATATAAACTCTATACAGTATCTTGAATAAGAACAATAGCTAGGACTGGATACAAAAAAACACATACATGAACATTATCAGGATTATAAAAAAATATTATTTTTAAAGCCAACTCTCTCTACTAAGACTCTAGGAGACTTCAGAGCATGCAAACCCACTTGTGATAGCAAAGCTAATATCACTATCACTTTAACAAAATAAGGATGAGGGGAGCCACGTGAAAGAAATCCAAACAAATAAACAAACATACAAATGCAGGCGCATTAAGCCACAGTTTAAGCAACATATTCCCCTTCTTATTTCTCATCTTTTATTTTGTTTGTTCCTTCCCGTGAAATGTAAATCTCCTTATCCGCTATTAGAATGGCTTATTACCACTGCAAGAGAGCTGGCCCAAAGGCAAGAAGAAGTATGAAAGAGATAAACAGACATACTATATAAACCTCAAGAGCTTCAACTCTCGCCCCATCTTTTTTCCCCCAGGAAGCACCTCTCTGTAATAAAAGCCAGTGTAGTTTTTTTTAAAGTTTGGGGGTGGGTGGGTGGAGGGGAATCTTACAGATTTCAGTTTGAAGTGGCATTTTAGAGAAACGGGGTCATTGGGTGATATTATAAAAACAGCCCAATGGGGCATATAGTGTAATCTACAATCTTAAGGATGAATATCTTAACCCTAAAATTTCCCATCATGAGCTGTCTGTTTTGTTGAATACTTCCAATGGGCGAGCTTCCATAATATATCTCATCAACCTATTCTGCCTTTTCAAAAATTTAAACTAGCTGCATCTTTCCTTTTCACTTTAGAAATATGCATAAATGATTGTCCTCTTTCTGAGCATGTGCTTTGCTCAGAAGTTTAGTATAATGCCACAAAAGAAGACAGGTGAATATACGAGGGTTGAATGAAAAGTAATGCCTCCATCTTCGTTACTTGGGTTTGGATGGGAATATTTTAATAAATCAAGCGTAGAAATAATCCTTAGAATGTGTTCTTTAACTACCACTATTCACTTTTCCACATAATCACCAGACAACTGGATACATTTCTGCCAAGGATGAATAAGTTTTCTGAAGCCATCACGGAAGAAGTCTACACTCTGTTTCCACAACCAGTGTCTCACAGTTCTCTTAACGTACCCATCGTGCACAGATTTTCTGATAGCCAAGCAAAGCAATAATGTGACCCACATGTTCTTGTAAAATGCCGATTATGCTTGAAATTTCTGAGTGATACGACAATCATCATGAATCAATCTGTAAACCTTTTGCTTGTGAAACTCGGTGGTTGTTGTCACAGGACGTCCAACTCTTTGTTTGTCATGCAAGTCAGATGTTCCCACCTCAACATCTTTAAACTTACTCGCCCAACGACGCAGAGTACTCATATCAACACAATCACAATAAACAGCTGGCATTGTCTGATGAATCTTCTTTGGGGTGACATCTTCTGCTCTCAAGAATTCAATGACTGCACATTACTTAAGTCACATTGACCAACTATCTGCGCAGGGTTCCCATACTTCGCACTTTAACAACACAATGGTTCAATGCTAATGGCATCCCACCAAAATGGAACTGTAGAGAAGAGTCTACTGAACAAATCAGTATCTGCCGCATACCAGTACTGCCATTTGTTGAGGAGTTACAAAGGTGGAGGCATTACTTTTCATTCAACCCTCATATATGCTGCATTTTTTTTAACTGACATGCATACAAATGAAATGCAAGATTGCATCCGGTGATGCATGGGGAATGTTCAGTTTTCTCTTTCTAAGTCTTGCATGCATGTACTTTTTACATACTGCCTGGAGATCTACCATTATCCCAAATGTCCTATACTCTAGAGCACTCCACAGAATGGGAGCCTGGTGCTGGAATGCAAAAATTAGTCCAATGTGTCCACCTGTTATTCATTCATTTTTAAATATGCATGCCATTAAGCAAAACAGTTGTGCCTGTCATTAATTCAATCACAGATATTCCTTTCCATCAATCATTAATTCACTCATCTTTTACACTCCTAGGTACATTCTTACATTGTCACTACCAACTTCTAGAAAATTGCTACCTCCCTTGCCTTTTCTGCTTATCTTTCCATTCTCTCCTCTTCCATAGTTCGAATGTACCAAATATTTCTGTATTATATACTAACGACTGTAAGCTTTAACACTCCAGAATTATCAACCTATATATCAACCTATAACTAATATAGCTGTTAAAAACTCCTGTATTCGATAGCCTCCCAGTGCTGTATTTGTTTGTTGTTATTTTGTGCCTTCAAGTTATTTCTTACTTACAGTGAACCAAATGATTTATTCAGAAGAGATCTGGCATTGTCTTTTTCTGAAGCTAAGAAAATATGAATTGCTCAAGATCACCTAATGAGTTTCCATGGCTGAGTGGGGATTTGAGTCCCCGTCTCCAGAGTCCTAGTCCAACACCCAAACTAAAGCACCTCACTGTCGTGATTTTTTAAAATTCTGCATACATAAAGCAATTATTGTCTAAAAATAAAGGTCTTCAAAATCTGTTTCACTAAATTAATTTCAAGGCAATTGATTGGTAACATAAATAAAATATGGTGGAAAACTGCCATTTGGTGAATGACATCATCCTTGGCAAATAAAATCGACGAGACTGGTTAACCTCCAAGCTCTGAACTCCATTCGAAAAAGAGAAATAGTAATGTACGTTTTTACTCATCATGATATGCATGTGCACAAATCTCTGTATATTGTTACAGTTTACACTTTTAACACATCTTTCCAGCTGAATACATCATCTCAACATCATCTCAACCTACAAACAAAATTCGATCTGCATCAGTAACTAATGACTAAAAGAAAGACTACAAGATGGAAAGAACAGTCACTGCTATTTCTTTCCCTGCTAAAAAATGGGTTACGAATCTGGTTTTGGACAACTTTAGATTGGTTATTTGGGGTGCTGATTCAGAAAATTACATTTGATAGACCACTTCAGATCTAGTTTCTGACACAGATCATATGCCATCCAGTAGTCGCCATCTGCTCGCCCAAAGTAAACCATATTTAATAAGCCTTGGCACTATAAGAGGCTTTTGTGAAACCAGTCACTCTCATTGCAACTGTGTAGTAACGGTGAGGCCGCAGACTATATTTTAGTTCTTGAGGACCACTGGTTGGGAACCACTGCTTTAACATGTTCTACCCAGCATCTCTCTGAACCTGTTAAAATCAGCTTGCCTGAAATTCAAGCTTTGACTATACTCTTCTTTACCTTGTGAATTCCAGCATTAAATGGTTACTTCCCACTAAAGAGCTGGCTACTTTGATTCAGTGACCAACGCCTCCCTGTTACTAGGATCCAGTCCAAGATTAGTAACCTCCCCATTACGTCTTCTACTATCTATTCTGAAATAACAGCAATATTTAATCATGGCCATATTTCCACCAGGTCTCTGTTATGCCTCTAAAGTCATATTTACCTTTCTGCACACTAGGACATGGAAAAAAAAACCAGAACAAAAAAAAAACAACACATGTTTTGAATACAATTTTAAAAAAATCAGTAAAACTAATTTTACACAAAAAATAGAACAATAATTTTCTAAAACACTTAAGGATTACCAGACAAAAATGGGGCAAAAATATTTTTTTTCTCTTAAAAGCAAGAAGAGAACTGTGGAAATAGTCTCTGTATGTATGAAACAGTTAGTGATTCGAATTCCTTACAGCAGTATTCTATCAACAAATGGATATCTCAAAGATTTCCAGATTACATTACCTCAGGATTTATCCATACTACAATCAGATAAATGTGAGAAAATGACATTCATTAGAAGCAAGGTAGGCAGAACCAAATTATTAATATATGTAAGGCGAATTTTTAAAGCATCAAGAATGATATGTGCAATTCTCCTCAATGTACACTATCAATGTTAATTATTTCAACCTGATAATGTTAACTCTTAGTACCTTTTCTTTGGACTTGATTACTGCAGTTAAATGTCTCAGCACCAAAGGGCCATCAATGCTGTATGTGAAGTTCACATTTTCAAATGCGATAACACCTTCGTTTGGCCATTCCGATGGTGGACGCTTGCTTGACTCCCAAGGTGCTTCTTTCTCAACATTGGTGTATTCAATTACTCGTTCTGCTGATATCATCTTTAAAAATGAACAACAAATGCTGATATCACTAATCCTATAATTACAAAAGTTTACTTACACTGAAATGCTCTGGTCATCAGTTAAATTCACAAATACATATTCATTTCAATCTGAAGCTCTCCAATGCATCTACCTTCTTCTCTCTTCAGAAACCCCTTTGCCCAGTTTGGAAGATGGGAGAGGAAGTGATGGCTTCCCAAAGAATTCTGTCATTTCTTTCACCAGTTATGAAACACAGCCACTGAAGAAATCCATCTTTTGCTTAAGTACTGCATTGCCATTTAAAATCTATCAACTCTCTAGGAAATACCTGTTCAATATTATTTTCATTTTACTTCTCCCTAACAAGAACAGTTAATTTCAAAGGCATGACACAAGGTAAAGTATCAGTAACTAGAACCTTAATCCAGACTCCTTTAATTCCATTGTCGAATCCCTATTCCTTACAAGACTGGCTTATTTACTAGGGAACCTTAATCAACTCTTTGTCAGTCCATTCAAATTATATTGAATAATCCTACAAGAAAAAAAATTAAACCATGTCCATTTCAGGAAAATCAATAAATGACAGCAGCAACATGATTAAACATTGTGTTTTTTAAACCAATTTTTTACTTTTCCTACTTGCGAGCAAATACTGTTTTTAGTAAAGGAGGACTATAGGAAAGATAGTGCTTCATCAATACATTATTTTATGAACATCGAATGTGAGTACACATGAATATTCTCACAGTCTCCACAAGCATGTGCGAGTTTGTATCTTGGCCCCATGGGATGTGAGGCAGGATAACCTCTGGTCATGTCTGAGATATGTAATGATGGGGAGATTAGTATGACTTGACAGGAAGCAAGATGAGCAATGGGAATGCCTACAGCACATCCAGTGAAGACATGTGAGAAAGCCTTTGGAGAGACTAGTTCAAGCTAGAGATGCATTCTGTGCTTCATCAGAAGGGAAGTCCAAATAAAATTGTGGCCATCTTAAATAGCTTCATAGCCGCAATGCCTTCTTTCGCAAAAAGAAATGCCTCCCATTCTTGTTAAGAGTAAATAAATAAATGTCAACATATCCATCACAATTAACCAATATATAATGTACAGTGTTGCCCTCCTGAAAATATGCAGTAATGATTATCAACATGATCTGAATTACGATAATGCAAATATATAAAAATATTATTTGTGGGAATACAATGCTTTGGAACCAATAGAGTTTAAATACAAATAGCTAAAGAACATTTGACAGGCTATGTGGGCTACAACAGCAAAGACATTTAAAATGCTTGGGGGAGGGGGGGAAGGAACACATGACTATTACCAGATTTTCGGTTTCAGCACTCTGTCGAACTCCCCACTGAAACATTCCCATGAGAGTGATTGCATAGGACAAAGCTAAGCCGACCTGTCCTGCATCGAGAGCTATTGAGCAAGGGAGAAAGTATGTTTTAAACTTCATTGACACATTCAGAAGAAGCAGACAAAGCAAATCACTTTATGGAATCAGCTTATGGGATGCAACCATGTTTGAATTATTCGTTCTCCGGCCCTAACCCCCTAAAAAAAAAAACAAGTTACCCAACAGACAGGAAACCCCACTTGGGAAGAATAATAGACCAGCAAGAATTTTGTGGGATTTTATTCTACTACTTCAATGCCCCACAATTTTCTGAAGGAATTATTCTGCATAGAAACAAATATGAAAATTATTGAACAAGGAACCTTTTTTCTGAAAAGGGTCTCTTGCACAGAAGCAGGATATTTATGCAAATTTCCACATTTCAGAAGTTCAAGTGAAGAGATAATACTGAGGAGGAATATTCATTTTCTCCTGCAGCAAGGAGAAAACTACAATGAATTATCTATCTTTGGATACAAGTCTAGGATTTACACCCTTATTCCTTGGTAAGGAGACTTACTGTGTGCAAGAAGCAAAGAACCAAAGGCAACCACCACCACAAGAACGGCACAGATGGCATCCAGGCGGACAGCAAACCATCGAGAGGTAGTCAAAAACAAGAACCAGGCCTCTAATAAGAAAAAAAGAAAATGCAGATTGGAAGGTTTAAAACATGGGGGCAGCTACACAACTTCAGTATTACCTTTAGTAATGAATTTGCCAAGTTCACACAGGAAGACCTTCAAGCAATAAGTTAACCAGTATTCAATGCTAAAGTGCAATGTACATTCTCATTTCCTTCACTCAAGGCAGCATTTTACTTTGTTGGAAAGTGCAAATAATAACAACTGTTTTCCCAAAAAACAATAGAAAGGCAACTTGCTACTGTATTGTACTTTACCAGATATAAGATCAGTATCAAACTCTTTCAGTTACTGATTGCGGTGAGTTACTGGAAATATTTGGCTTAAACATTATCATGCCTTGCTTAATCAAGGGTTCTCGAAGGTCATTTAAGAATCACCCCAAAATCAGCTAGAACAAAGGCATTGCTTCTATTCCTGGTTTTGGGGACTGCTCTCCCTATGTGCATTCTTGGGATGCATCATGCTTTTATGATGTCTGTTGTTCGGTTTTATTGTTTTAATGATTGAAATGCAATATATTTTAATTGTGCCATATTTTACTTCTGTTTTTGTTGGGCTTGATCCCCATGTAGGCTGACTCCAATCTCTTTGGGGAAATGGTGGCAGGATATAAGAATAAAGTTATTATTATTATTCTGAAGTGGTATGGTCTAGGCAAAGTCTAGCCATTTGCGTCATTTTACAAACCAGTGTGAAGGTCTTGGTGAGCATCAAACAATTCTTGGAATCTTTGCTCTGCTTTAAATGCACGAATAGTCCACAATCCCTGAAGCGATGATGACAAATGAGAGAACACCGGGCTTCGACCTAGAAGATAGTGATTAAACACTCTTACCATCTTACTATAGACATTTCTGACACTGAATCTGAATCAATGTTTGGAATTACTAAAATTAAAAGACAGAAAGATAGGTTCTAGCTAATATTATAGTAATTATTCTATAAAAACAAAAGTGCTAAATATAATTGAATGTGCACTTGTCCATCCACATCTGTAGTTTAAGAATTCAATGTGATTATTTTATTATTCATGGGTTACTGTATTTATAGCCACCTTGACTTTTGCCCTAAATGTGACTGAAAAAATATGCTGCCTAAGAGTATGATGGAGTCTCCCTCTCTGAGGTTTTCAAACAGAAGCTAGATCAAAAACAGTCCCATCACTGACAGAAATTATAGTTTATCTTCATTTACTGGGTTTAATGTGATCTAATGTCCCATCTGCACCAATATATGGGTAATAATTAAGGTCTGCAAGTCTGTAACCAAGCATATTTCACAATCCTAATTAAGAAGAAAATTGTAGTTAAAATGAAGTATGATCAATGCTGCTAAAGATATGATGTTGACGTCCAACAACAGAAAAGCAAAGTGACAGCATTTGTTCTTAGCAGTAGTTTAAAAAAAATCAGCAGTATTATATATGGATTTACCCCAAAAGTAAAATTTTATAATATCTAATAGAAACTGCTAGAATAAAAGTGTGATCAAGTAAAACTATGAAACATTTCATTATATACAGAGAATTTACAGAAAGGGGGCAAAGAAATAACCATTGTTTTCCTACTACAATTCATAGCATTCAGATGGCATGGCCAAGTCATTGTTCTAAGCTCTACTTCAAAACATCAGCAAAAAAATATCATCTCATATTATTAAATGATTTTAATAAAATCAAGTCTTATAAAAATACGTACTTGTGGATTCCAAACGTTTAATGTCTCTTGATGTAGCCAAGAAATACCGACGAAGAATGATGAAAAGGATAAGTAGTGGAACTAAAGGGATAAGAACCCAAGGAATCACTGCAATGGCCACTGCTACCACCCCACAAATCTGAAGGAAAGTCTGCAACAACAAAATTGTAAGAGCAGTCTGAGTATTATTATTTTTAACCTCGGGGTCTTCTCTTCAGAAAAGAATCTCATTCAGTAGCTTAAAGCAACACAACTCTGAGAAACCTATAAGAAATATTGTGCCTTCCATTGACAAAATACAAACAACCCTTCAGGTTTATTTCTCAATTTTTACAAAGCTACGCAATATCTAACATTTTAAATGTGTCTTAACTATTACCCATAAATAGCAGTGATGAAGACTAATGCCATACCTTCGACAAAACATCAGCCCACTATGATTAGGTATTTTTAGGCAAATCACCAAGTCTCTGTTCTCACCAAACCTTATGTGACCCTGCATCCCAATATAGAGAATAACAAGGTCATATTTTAGGAGTGGTGATAAAGACTGCTGAAAATATTGTTGAATGCTCTCAAAAAAGCACTCTATCAGGGCTTGGGAACCTGTGGCACTACACACAATATCAAATCTGGCTCCCATCAGCCTCAGATAGTCTAGTCAACTGTAAGGTGTAACAAGAGCAGTATTTCATCAACATCTAGGTGAACAACAGTTCCACATCTCTGCACTACCTAATAGGAAGGTGAAAACCCTCACAGTCAAAAAGAACTGGATGCTCAGTCAGCCTTCCTTATCCATGGAAATTGCATCCACAGATTCAACCATACATAGCTTGAAAATATTTTTTTAATCCAAAACACAAGCTTTGATTTTGCCATTTTAGTTAAGAGATACCATTTTACTATGCAATTCTAATTCGATTTGAGCATCTGTATATTTTGCGATCCACGGGGATCCTGGAACCAAATCCCAGTGGATACCACGGCCCCAGCATATGTGAAATTCACATTCTCAACCCCTGTTCTTGCTCAGTTTCCATTGCCTCCTTAAAGGTGCAAATCACAAGGTAAAGTGAAAAATGCATCTGTTGGGATACAGTCTCCATTCCTAGTCAGCCTATGCTCCACTTACACACCACTCCCCAGATCTCAAGATCCCTTTTTGTCAATCAGCTTCTCAAGGGCAACCCAAGTTCTCACACAAAACATTAAAGAGCAGTGCCCCATGATATCCTGCTAGAGAAACATGAACTGACAACAGAATGTTCCTTCTCCTGACCCAGTAATAAAAAAGAGCACAATGTTTAGAAGGAGCAGGAGAGCAGTCAACCACCCTGTTAAAACAGCTCCATTGGTTGCCGGTAAGTTTCCAATCCCAATTTAAGGTGCAGGTTATTACCTACAAAGCCCTAAACAGTTCAGGGCCAGCCTATCTTTGCGATCGCATCTTCCCCTGTGGACCTGCATGAGCTCTAAGATCTTCTGGGGAGGCCATTCTCTCGCTTCCACCTCTGTCACAAGCACAGTTGGTGGCGATGAGGGAGAGGGTCTTCTCCCTGCCTCTGGAATTCTCTCCCCAGGAAGGTTACATTAGCCCCACCCTGTCCACTTTCCCTAAAGATCTAAAAATGTGGATGTTCCACTGTACTTTTTAAAAATCAGTTCACTAGATAATGTTGGCCCTTCTAGCCATAACTTCATATCTAGCTATTGCAGTCTACCATTGTCCCTGCCCCTGTAGTTGTATTGCACTAACTGACTTGGCCCTTCCAGCCCAAAGTTATCATTTGGCTCCTGTACTTTTCTGTTAGCCCTGTCCTTGCAGCTGTATTGCACAAGCCCAGCCCCATCCCTTAGTTTAGTATAAGACCACTATGCTCAGCTACTGGTTATTGTTGATGGTTTGTGTTTTTATTATGTTTTTTATCTGTATTTTTACTGTGTTTTTATTTTAATCTCTGTTTGACTGGGCTTGATCCCCATGTAAGCTGCCCCGAGTCACTTTGGGGAGATGGTGGTGGGATACAAAAATGTTGTTGTTACATACATACAGTCCCCAAGTTACAAATATCTGACTTACAAATGATTCATAGTTAAGAATGGGACTGAGACAACAGGAAGTTAGAGAAATCAACACCTAGGAAGAGAAATCAACTTCTGGAAGAGTTGTCATGGGGAAAAGGTGTCTCCACTAAAGCTTTATCATCAATACTTGTTTCCACAACAGGTCAATTTTTTTTCAAAATCCAGTATCAGAGGTATAGAAAGTGTGGCGAAATCTTCTGAACAGGGGCACAGACAGCCAAAAAACAAAAACAAAACAAAAAAAACCCACTGGGTGTTAACCCTTCCCTATGTAATCCAAAGCATACCTATATCTATATCTATATCTAGGATGGAGTTATATTCAAAAAATGTCCCTGTTCCGACTTAAATACAAATTCAACTTAAGAACAAATCTACAAAACCTATCTTGTTTGTAACCTGGGGACCCTCTGTACTTGGTATCTTTCACTCAAGATTGGATCTTCTGGCTAATAGCTCTACTAGATAATTTCTGAGGTATGATTTTCCCTAGTTTAGGCTTATTCAAAGCCCTCTGTCCATAACTGTGAGTCTTTATCTTTTTTGATGAACTTCAGAAATGGTTCCAAGTCCTTTTTGTAGTTGTGTTGGGTTTTTTCCCAGAGTATCATTGCCAACTTATACATTTCTGGCAGATTAAAAACATTTGTAATCCACACTTCTTCTGTTCATATTTGTGTGTTTTTCCAGTTTTGTGCATACAACATTTTTGTCCTAATTATAATATATTGTAATTTTTTGTGCTTGTTGATTTTGGTTGTCCATTCTGTAGCTCCAGTAGAAAGAATTCAGGGTTTTGCTGAATTGTAACTTTAAATTTTTTTGCAGTAGTTGTTTTATTGAGTTCCAAAACTGTCTTATTTAAGAACAAGTTCACCACATGTGGAAAAACGTTCTCACTGTCACACTTCCAGCGTGTACTGCTCATGCATTTTAGTCAATCACTCCAGAGTTGAGACCATTGGAACATCATCTTGGAAAAAATATTTTAGATCTTGGCATAAGGTTCCTTTAAGTTCCCACTTCCACATCTTTTTCCATCTTTCTCATTCAATATCGTGTCTCAAATTTTGAGCCCAATTTATCATAGATTTTCACTTATTCTGGTTCCAAATCCATTCTTAACAGCATTTTGTATAAAAAAAAATCAACTCTGAAAATCTGTGTTGACTTATCTGCAGGTCAACATACGTAAGTATGGTACCTTAACTCATATCAAAAAAAGGGTTATATGAATAGATTGGTAAAAAGCAAATGCTTAGTCCATCCCAGAAAAAAATTAAAAGCAGCACTGACTGCCTGTATTCTCTCTGCCACATTACTACTTCTGCCTGGATGGGGAAATGGCAGCAATAGTAATAATAACTTTATTTTTGTATCCCGTCTCCATCTCCCTAAAAGGACTCGAGGTGGCTTCCATGGGGACAGGCCCAATCAATATAGTTAAAATAAACACATTAAAATTCATAAACAATAGCATAAAACAAAACATCATTATAACAAAATATAAAAATAACCATCGAACCAACAGCCAATGGATCTGATATCCAGTTTTGGATATGGGTATGCAGACTAGTGCAAATCAATTGTAAGGATAGGGCTGATGGAAAAAGTTCATATGTCAATTACCGATAGTAGGAATAGAGAAACTGCTCATTTGATATGGTATTAGGACTTTCCCTCTATGCAGAATGACCCTCGATTTATCCATGGATTATATCAAATTCTGCAATTTTGATCAAAGAAAGTGCCCTCAGCTTATAAATGAGGTCAACTTACACATGAATATATAAGGTAAATTCACTTTGCATTATCCCTGATCAGGCCACTTCTTGCTTTGTTCTTTACTCCCTTGAGCCTAGCCTTCCTCAACATGGCACCATCCAAATGTTTTCAGCTACAACTTCCCTCATCTAAGACTTTTCTCAGCCATGCTGAGTGGAACTGTAAGGAGACTACAGGTTGAAATAACCAGAATACATAATGCTGGTAAAGGCAGCTTTAGCCTCTGTCTTGGCCACCCAAGCTACAAAATTGTCTATGCTAATATTTTATTCACAAGAAGGCAGAATTCATTTCTATCAGCAGCACACCTGAAAAACACAACTGAGGAGATGTACGAAAGGAAATAGGGTTAGAGAACCGTTTATTCATTTGTTTTTCAAAGATACTCCATTTGGGGTTCGAGTGATAAGAGTTGTGAAAGAAGAAGTGATACTATTCATGCTGAGATGCATATAATAAACTTCTTTTGGTATCAAAATAAAAGAACATGTGAGAGACTGTTAAGATGACTAAGGTGGAAGCTTGACTGGAAGGAGTTTTCTATAAGCCACTTTATTAACATCAAATATATTATAGGGTGGATCATTCTGATGTGCATACATTTTGGAAAGTCAAGGCTGCATACAAATGAACTCTTAATGAAGTAGTCTCAAAAGACAGACAGAGGTATGCAAAGATGTCAACCAAGCCCTTGTTAATATACGGCTATAAAGTAAAGGTACCTAATTGCCTGATTTCCCAACATATGCAAAATGAACAGAATGAAAACACTTCTTACACCACTGTTGCGACAAGGCCTGGAATCTGAAAGACCAATTATAACATGAAAGTTTGGGTAATCCCCATTGCTTATCTTCCTTCATCCCCAACCCTTTTCATCCTGAAGAGTATGAGTTAGCATCAAATTTCAGCAACTATGTCATGGCAAATCTGAAAGGTCATGCTGATGCAAAATTCTAGAGATTTCAAGAGAAAAGCAAAAAGTATCTCAAAGAAATTCAAGAAAAGAACTCTCTCCATTTCCAGTTTACAAAAACTCTATCACTTAGAGAAAACATTAAGGTAAAACCTCATGTTGATTTACATATGTAGCATTAAGTCCACCTTCCACTGTTGTTGTTGGTGTTGTTATGTATTGATCCTGCTTGTCATAGCTCCATTTACCCCTAACCATAATCTCCAACAGGTGTTTGTATATAAGGCTTTGATCAGTAGCAACAATTTAGGTTCAATTTTGAGGGCGGAAAACTTATTCCCTAATACTCCTCTGTTCACCTT